GTGACCCACTGGCCCGCGCACCTTCCATCCCACATTTCCCCCTCTTTCTCTATGTACAAACAGTACGTGTCCTGGATTTCACAATCACGCAGTGCTTTGCTAAATCAGGAAAGTCATGTTGCTTACCCGGGATTCGCTCCCGTTACTCTTAACAGAAACATGATTTCCTCTGCAAGTTTGCCAATCTTCCGGCAATAACCCGCAGTCCAAACAGAATCACCAATGCAAGACAAGCCCTCATTTACTCATCTCATACTTAGCTCAACCCATGTCAGACATCCATACTCCGGCTAGTTCTCACTATGATAACTGTCCCCGATACCCCCGAACCATGATGTCTATTTGCTCAACGAATGAAAGCCGAATGGAAGCCGGTTTCATGGGAAACGAGGAGGAGAAGGAACATTCTCAGCTATTAGTTCAAGATCCGTGGATGCCAGGTATAGCCGCGAATATAAAACAAAGCTTGGAATGCATTCTTAAATTTACGTCAGATGGCGTCCAGTTGACCTCGGAACTGCACCTGACGCTCCAGCAAATGGAATGTTCGCTCTGCTTAGTCCACTCCCATACTGATACAGTGTTTGCCAAAGTTCACCACAGTTTACCTTGCAACAGGGTTTTTTCTCTATTTGAACATAGTTGCTCTAGAAACGCATCATCCAGATCTAAGGATACCTATGATTTGTTCTCTGAACGGCTTTCTGAGCCTTCATGGTTTTGTGTACATACGAAAGACGCACATCGACGCATTTCGTTTGTCGCAGATAAACTAGTGTATTGCACAGAACCGAAGCAAATGGGTGCACTCACCGGAACCAAGTCCTGTCTGTTTGTCGTCAGGCGTCGGAGGATCAGATGAGTCTGGTTGCAATTTAGAAGCATCTTCCTCAGGGGTCTTATTTAGCATGTCCTTATTTGGCTCAGCTTGAGTCAATGTCGTGTTCGCACTTGTGGGTTGTGTGACAGAACCGGGTGGTGCGGGGATATTCGTCTCGAGAGAACCACCTGCGCCTGCACCGTTGCTTGCCGACTGGTTCTGCGACACTCCAACCCCAGACTGTGATGCACTGTCTGTTTGAGATTTCTCTGTGACGACCGGAGAATCTATGCTTTCCGCCGGCGATTCATCATCCTTTGTGGTTTCTGGCAGTTGTCCGTCTACCACGACTGTACAAAGTTGAGAGTCAGTCACAAAGCCCACTCGTCCTCTTCACTCATGAGGATAACCGAACAAAACGAGTACTTTGTTACACAAGCCTATTTCTGAACAACAATACCACCAGATGGACCATGAGTCGTTTTGTTCGCGTGAAATTCTCATTGTAATCCGGCACAATGTTTGTGGCCAAGTCGGCCATGAGAATTTCCGGTCGACTCAAAGCTGTAATAATCGTCCCGTGTTCTACTCACTCCAACGCCAAGATGGATAGTGTCTAAACATTGTACATGCACATAGAATGCACAGTGAGAGAGAGAG